GGAATACACAAGAATATAAAACGCTGAAGAAGATTTCAGGTTCTCATTCCCCGCCATATTGTAGCGGGTCAGGCTATCTGATTGGGAGGGAGACAGCAGTCACGCTAACAGCTATATTTGCGGACACACCCTATTTTCCCGTGGAAGATGTGTATATTGGAATGTGTGCTTACAAAACAAAAGTAGAAGTAATGGACGTGCCGGGGTTTGATGTGGAGTACGTCGGGTATGACGCGTTCCAGTACTGCCACTGTGCGGGCACGGTACCCAAGGTTGACGCGGGTCGACAACGGGAAATCTTTGTACGACAGCTCGGCGACTGCAAACAAACTTGGTCCCGAGGGATGGACGATCTCCGCGCGTGCTTCGTCGATATTATGGACGTCTTAAAACCATTGACTATCATGACGTTGTCCGGATTGCTTATCATCCTGTTTTTTATTGTCCGTAGGAAGGTGAACTGAGTACAGATAAGGTTAACCCATAGTGTTGTACATCCTCACATTGANGTACATCCTCGCATTGCATGTCACAACCACAGGGACTAGAGAATTTATTACGGCTATATTTGGACCTAAACTAATGTGTTCAGAGTAATTTTATACGTGTTAGGGTTTTAGATCAACTTTCGGTAAAATGCCACCCCCAGTAATACGTACAAGAAGGGAGGAAAGCTCACGATGTCTAAAAATCGACCCCAACTGACTTTGTTGCATCGAAAACAATATTTTTAGTTGATGTAAGATGGATATTTTTCGTTTTAAAACCCCCTTCGTGCNTTTTAAAACCTCCTTCGTGTATATTCACGTAAAATGTATTCTCTTTTCGCAGACATGATCTCCATTTCCTCCAAAAACACACGCCATTTCCGCAGTTTTTCGCAGTCAAAGAGCCACTTTTCCATTACATGAGGTTGACGTCAGTCACGTCCTGAAATATGTAGTCTTGGTCGACTGGTTATTTTAGGGGAAACATGGCTGGGCTTTTCGGAATCACATCAGTTAATCGCACTACACGTTTCGGCACGTGGCTGACCTCATCCTAGTGAAGACATATACGTGTATATAGAATGTGTTTTTACCGGAAGTTGATCTGAACCCCTAAAACGTGTACAATTGCTCCGAACACCTTATTTAAGGTCCAAGTAAAGCTGTAACAAATCAACAGGTCCCTGTGCCCACAACATATACGTAAGCAAAATCATGAGACACTTGTCCAATGTACTCGTACATAAAACACTTCTTCAATACACACTGCAATGTACGTTACATAAACTATTGCTGCCATGTTCAATGTATTTATGCACAACATACAACATCAGTTATAATCCACTACACGTTACGTTCATTTAATTGGCATTTCAAGGATTGCTTGTGTCAAGTATATTCTGACTAAAAGACTAGTGATTATAGAAAGTGTAACTGATCATGGGGATAGACTTATAGATTTAAGTTAAAATGTTACAATTACATTATTCTTAAATGTAGTTCTTCATTCCAAAATTGTTACATTCGTTTACAATTCAATACCACCCGACTCCACCCAACTCCATCAAACTTCACTACCATCCCACGTCAACCAACTTTACTACCACCCACTCCATCCAACTTTAGTACCACCCCACTCCATCCAACTTTACTACCACCCCACTCCATCCAACTTTACTACCATCCCACGTCAACCAACTTTACTACAACCCACTCCATCCAACTTTACTACCATCTCACTCAATCCAACTTTACTACCATCCCACGTCAACCAACTTTACTACCACACCACTCCATCCAACTTCACTACTATCCCACTCCATCCAACTTCACTACCATCCCACTCCATCCAACTTTACTACCACCCCACTCCATCCAACTTTACTACCATCCCACTCCATCCAACTTTACTACCATCCCACTCCATCCAACTTACTACCATCCCACTCCA